TAAGACAAGATTTTGTAACCCAGACTGACACCAAACTAGCAATTCTCCTGTTTCTGTCTCCCAAATGCTGGGATTATAAGGGTGTGCTACCATGCCAAGCCAAGTCTCAATTCTCCAATTAAAAGTGGCAGACTAGGGGCCAGGGATTTAGCTCAGTGGTTCCAGTGCCTGCCTTACAAGCACAAGGTTCCATGTTTGATCTCTGGTACCAAAAAAAAAAGTGGCAGACTAGGGCCAGGCATTTAGCTCAGTAGTGCTGTGCCTGCCTCGCAAGCGCAAGATCCTGAGTTTGATCGCTGGTACTGCAAAAAAAAGAAGTGGCAGACTGGGAAACTGGATTAAAAAATAAGATCCAACCCTTTGGTTCCTGCAAGAAACATACCTCACTAACAAAGAAAGACAGAAAGTGAAAGGATGGAAAACAATAATATTCCACACAAGTGGAACCTGAAAGCAAGTAAAATTAGCTATACTCATATCTAACAAAGCAAACTTCAAAATTAGTCAAAAAAGACAAAGAAGACCACTACATGTTGATAAACAGAACAGTCCACCAAGAAGATATAACAATTGTAACTATATATGCACCAAATATCACTCAGCTTCATAAAATAAACACTTCTCAATATAAAGAGACACATAGGTCCCAATACATTAATATTAGATAACAACTTCAATATTCCACTCTGACCAATAGATAGGTCATCTAGACAAAAAAAAAAAAAAAATCAACAAAAACATATCAGAGTTAAACTACACCACAGAACAAATGGTCTTAAGAGATGTCCACCAAACATTCCATCCCCATACAACAAAATACTCATTTTTTCAGCAGCTCATGAAACATTCTCCAAAGTAGATCATATTTTAGGCCATAAAGCAAGTCTTAACAAATAGCATAAAATGAAGTAATTTCTTGCATCTTAATAGATCATAACAAAGTGAAATTAAAAATCAACAGAAGGAGAAACTATACAAACACATGGAGATGACACAATTCACTTCTGAATCCATGAGTCACTGATGAAATCAAGGGGGAAATTTAAAATTCCTAGAAACAAATGAAAATGGAAAAACAACACACCAGAATCTCTGATATATGACAAAGGGAGTTCTAAGAGGGAAGTTTATAGCTATGACTGGCTAAATCAAAAAAATCATAGAGAGTCTAAATAAACAACCTAATGATGTATCTCAAGGTTTTAGAAAAATAAGAACAAAGCAAAACCAAATCCAACAGAAGGAAATAAACAGTAAAGATCACAGTTGTAATTAATGAAATAGAGACTAAAAGAATAATATAAAAGATCAATGAAACAAAGAGGTGGTTCTTTGAAAAGATAAACAAGACTGATAAGCCCTTAGCCAAACTAATCAAAAGAGAAGCCCTAAACCAACACTATTAGAGATGAAAAAGGGGATGTTACAAGAGACACCACTGAAATTCAAAGGATCATTGGGTACTATTTTGAAAACCTATATTCTAATTGAAGAATCTAAAAAAAAGGGTACATTTCTAGACATATATGATCTACCAAAATTTAACCAAGAGGATAGAAACATACCAGTAACAATGAGTGAAGCAGTAATAAAAAGTATCTCAAAAAAGAAAATCCCAGGACCAGATGGATTCACTGCTAAGTTTTACCAGATCTTTAAAGCACACTAATGCTTCTCAAACTAGTCCAATAATAGAAACAGAAAGGAAAGGAATGTTTCCAAACTTATTCTATGAGGCCAATATCACCTTAATACCAAAATAACACAAAGACACAACTATATTAGTCACTTTCCAGTTACTGGGGCAAAAATACCTGACACCTACAACTTAAAGGAAGAGAGGTTTATTTTGGCTCATAGTTTCAGAGGGTTCAGTCCATGGTTAGCTGGCTCCAAGGCAAAAATGGCATAAAGGAAGGACATGACAGATGAAAGCTAAACTAAAAAAAAAAACTATAGATCAACATCCTTGATGAACACAGATGCAAAAACGCTTAATAAAATACTTACAAACCAAGCTCAACAATATATCAAAAAGATCACACACCATGATCAAGTTGGTTTCACTCTAGGGATGCAAGGGTGGTTCAACATGCAAATCAATAAATGCAATACACAGTACAAATACAATCAAAGATAAAAATAATCACATGATCATCTCAACTGATACAGAAAAAGCCTTCAACAAACTTCAATATCCTTTCACAATAAAAGTCCTGAAGAAACTGAGTACTGAAGAATCATACCTCAATATAATGAAGGCTCTATATGACAAACCCACCGCAAACATAATCCTAAATCGGGAAAAGCTAAAAACATTTCCTCTAAAATCAGGAATAAGATACAGATACCCAATTGCACCATTTCTAGAGCTGACAAATTCAGCAAAATAGCAGCATACAAAATCAATATTAAAAATAAATCAATAGCTTTTCTATACACCAAAAATGAACTAACCAGAAAGAAATCAGAAAAGCTATTCAATTCACACTAGCTTTAAAAAGAAACACCTAGGAATTAACCTAACCAAGGAGGTGAAATTTTTCCACAATAAAAATTATAGAACAATGAAGAAAGAAAGTAAAGACATTAGAAGGTGAAAAGATCTCCATCTTCACAGACTGGCAAAATTAATATTGTTAAAACGGCCTTACTACCAAAAGTAATATAAAGATTCAGTAAAATCCCCATCAAAATTCTAATGACATTCTTCACAGAACTAGAAACAATTATCTTAAAATTCATATGGAAATACAAAAGACCCAGAATAGTCAAAGCAATCCTAAGCAACAAGAGCAAGACTGGAGGCATCACAACACCTGATTTCAAATAATACTACAAAGCCATAGTAACAAAACCAGTATGGTACTGGAACAAAAAGGGCACATAGACCAGAACAGAGAACACAGAAATCAACCCATGCAACCAAAGCTATCTGATTCTTCACAAAGGAGCCAAAAACATGCATTGGAGAAGACAGTCTCTTTAACAAATGTACTGGGAAAACTGGATATCCATATGGAGAAGACTAAAAATAGATCCCTATCTTTCACCCTGTACAGAAATCAACTCAAACATCTCTAGCCATTAGGGAGATGCAGATTAAAACTACACTGAGATTCCAACTCACCCCAGGTAGAATTACTATCATCAAGAATACACTGGTAAGGTTGCAGGGGGAAAGGAACTCTTCTATATTGCTGGTGGGAATGTAAATTAGTACAGCCACTATGGAAATCAGTGTGGCCATTCCTCAAAAACTAAAAGCTACCATTCAATCTAGCCATACCACTCCTTGGTACACAGAAGAAATTAAAGTCAACATACTGCAGGGATACCTGCATACCTATGTTTATGGTAGCACAATTTACAACACCAAGATATGGAATCAGCCTAGGTGCCCAGCAACAAATGAATGGATGCAGTAAGTGTGGTATATATACACAGTGAAGCCCTACAGAACAAAATTTTGTCATTTGCAGAAAAATAGATGAAACTGGAAGTCATTCTGTTAAGCAAAATAAGCCAGACTCAGAAAAACAAGCATCTTGTGTTTTGCCTAATAGGTGGAATCTATTTTTAAAAAATAGATGGCATGAACATAGAAAGGAAAACTATTATTAGACAAGAAAAAAGGAATAAGGAGAGGGAGAAGAATAAAAGGATAAAAGGGAGAATAATGGAGGGGTATGATCAAAATATTTCATATGCCTGTACAAAAATACCACATTGAAACCCAGTATTTTATAAAATTAATAGGTACTAATAAAAATATATTTCCAAGAAAACAGATGGCTAAAGCAGTATTAAGATAATTTATCTATATAGCCACACATGCAGCCCCTCAAGGTACAAGGCTCTCTCTGCTATGTACTAAGGGGGCCAGTACAGAACTGTACCACAGGGCATAGGACTCACCTTTTCACTGGTACATTACAAAGAGTCAATAGGAAGTCTACACAGGAGTAACTTCCTAGTCTATCTGAGGATTTGAGTATAAACAAAAGAGACACAAGACTAGGTAAAGGATGAGTGTCATTTATTTGTATGCGGAGTGGAGTGTGTGGGAAGTCAGGGGTGGGGGGCCACAGAGCTAGGTGAGTGAAAGAGTGATGGCAGATGGCTCAACTCCAGCCAGGATGGTGGCTGGTCGAAGCCAGAAAATGGTTAAAGGAGCTAGTTTTTAGAAGAACAAATATCTTCATCTCAGGCTGGAGGGAAGGAATTAAGACAGACACTGACATTTTTCTATGAGAGAAAAAGACTATCATCTGGTTCAGAGAGAGATAAGTGATTCATAAGTCTGGAGAGTTTTGAAGTCACTGCTATACAGAATGTAAAAGCTGCCGACTTAGAAAAAATGTAATAAAATGTCAAAATGTAAATGCCATTTTAAATATCCAAAATTTTATAGAGAAACCTAGACAAAGTGTATCTGATATGAATATTTAGTGGTAACTACCTTCTATATAAAAATATATTCAAATAGGCTAATTGACAGAATTTAGTAAAATCATCAATTTTTAAATAAGAAAAAATTTTAATTCATAAAAAGTACATCTCACTCTTCTCCAGTAACTGTATATTTGATATAGATTCATCAAGTGTATGGCAGTTTTGAAGCATAAGCCCCTATATCTATATATTTATAAATCCCATAAGTCTATGAGATTCTTTTTATATAGCACTATTTTAAAGCATGCATTGTCTTAAAGAATCACAAATACAAATGTCAATAAAACCAAGATCAGCTCTGACATGAAATCAAGAAAAAAAACCCATATACTTAAAAAAAAGGCCCTGATAATCCAAAGTAAAAAAAAAATAGAAACAAAAATTACAGTTTATGAAAACTATTTACGAAAGCTCTCTAAAGACATTCATACACTTCAAGTACATACAAGGAGAAAAGTAGTGTTTTCATTTACTTACTTGAAGCACTCAGGTATATGTATGCAAAAACTTGCAAAAGCAAAACATCAGAAAGCATTTTACTTTACCCTTGTTCCCTTTGGCATTGCTGTTTCGTCAACCAACAGGCAAAGAATATTACACGCCACCAAAAGGACTGAGATGGACTACAATACAAAAAAACAAGCTGTCAGCTCTCAACTCCAAAGACTTCTTTGACAATATACAAATATTAAAGTCTAAGTCACAAAGCATGTTTCAGAATAGAGGAAAAGCAATCAAAGTCAAAATTCTACAATAAAGCTAAGTAGACTATATACAAAAACTCCAGAATAAATTCCACGAGATTCTGCAAATTATTATAATTTCAAAGCTTGTGAAAAAAGATAGTAAAACAGACCCATTTACTAAGTAGTTCACCAACTCGAAACCAAAACTCCACCGACTTCAAACATAGTAAAATATTACCAGCACTAATTTCCTAATGCAGTTTTCATAGCCTTTGCAGACTTTGAAGCACAGTATCTACACCCTGTTTTTCCTAATTTTCAATGAAACAAAAGCTTGAATTTTCTGCTTTCATATCATGAGAAAACAGATCATCTTGAGGGCTTTTTCTAATTACCATTCATTTCCATTTTTTTCTATTGAGTTTATACAAATAAAAGTATAGATGGATTTTAATCCTGTTGAAAGAAAACTAGTTTCCTAGAAACCATTTAACTGAGGGAGATGCCATATTCAAATGCCAAAGCAAATAAAATATAATATGGTTTATTTAAGTAGGCAAATAAACTCTTACTGTCTTGATAAGAAGTAGAACCATAACAGCAGGATACACCAAATTTCTTTCCCATGCTGAAGCCTTTTTCCGCCTCTCTAATAGAAGGAAAAACAAAATAAAACAAAAATTTCAGTAATTTCCAAAATTCCTCTCCAGATTCATATTTTCATCCCATTACGCTACAAACATTATGCAATTTTTTTTGAAAAACAAAGTATCCACTTTTCTCCACAAACTATGAAAATCAATTTGCTATAGTTAACAGTGCAGACATGTGAGGCTTAAACTTCAGCTCTGTAAAGATAATTCAGTTTTTAAGGAAAGCTATTATTGATATATGGCTTATTTTGAAAATATAGAAGTAACTATATTTGGTGTAGATGTATATATGGATATAGATATGTATTTGAATGAATAAAGGAACATGAATAAGATCTCTAATCTCATGTCCCAAGGATCTAAAGGCTGAAAGTAAACCTCCACTTGTAGCTAAAACAGATTACCTTATACCACACCCAGCCACATGCTGAGAACAACAGTGGAGGGTGGATTCAATCTTTAAAAAGAGTCCATATTACTATATTAGAGAGCTACCAAGACCATGAAAATTGAAGAGCTGCTATTCTACAAAACAGTTGAGTTGAGTTCCTCAGTGTAACATTTTTCCCTGCAAGTTATGTTCCAGTATGTAGATGGCATGGATCCCAGAGATTGAGAGATCAAGCAGAAACTGGTGGGTCAAAGGCAAAGGTGCTAAAGAAAAGCTCTCAGCAAACATGACAAAGCCAGAGAGACAAATTCTAGAGTTTGAGGCTACCAAGGCAAACACAATTTGAGATGCGATAATCACAGAGAGAAGGAAAGGGCAAAGTGGTGAGCCAGATACACAGACAGGCTCCCTTTCCCCATGAGGCCTTGGCAGAGGGTAGGAAGAGCAGAGATCCAGGTGAGAGGCTGGGAAGCTCAGAAAAACTCAGGCTCCAGTTTCTTGAGCAGTAAAAATGAGAGTTCATTAAGAAGCCTGCTCAAAACAGCCAGGTTTTCAGTAGGACCAAGGAAAAACTATACACTGAGAATAACGCCAAACTAGAAATGGTCTGGCCCACGTAAAGACCAAAAGCCCAAACAGACTAAGCTGCTATGTCCCCACTCCATCTGCCTACCAGAAGTCAAAGGAACTCCACTAAGAAAATACCATCCTGCTGCTACAATTTCATGTTATCAATGTCTAGCATTCAATCAGGAGAAACTCAAGCAGAGCACAGACCACTTCTGAGTCTAGGACATGAAACTGGAATCTAAAGAGGCTAAAATGGCTGAACTCTGCAAAGTACAGAAAGAAGACTGGCCTACAGAAGAACTGTCAGGATCAAGAAAAGTCAGCCTCGGGCATTCACAGTAATGACCAGCTCAGGCATGTGAAGAAGCAAGCCATGGTTGAAGAAAGAACACACAAAAATAGTAGGGAACAGCACTTGACAATCACAAAGGGCCAAGAACAATGCCTGCCTTGGTGGTGGGGAAGTGGAGGCAATTCCCCTAGAGCGAGGGCTGCCCTGGCTTAACCTAACTAGTCTTCAAGTCCAACCCAACAACATCATGTTCTTTCCAAGGAAGTGAACTGCATTCCAGAACAAAGTGCTTCACTTACAGAAATATAAAACATCAGCATCTAACAAGGAAAAACTTGCAGTATTACAACTGCTCAGCATGCAAAACAGCATAAAATGCAATCAATAGTAAGGAGGAAAATCAATCAAAATTTACCAAGAACTAACACAGATACTAGAATTACAAGATTAAAACATTAAAACCATCGTTATAATGGTATTTCATTTTTTTCAAAAAGGTGGAGGCCAGAGTGAATTTGCTAATTAGCACAGGGAAAGTATCAGCCCAAATAATACTAGAGATGAAAACTACAGTGTCTGAAAAAAAATACAGAAGAAGGAATGAAAAACCAATTATATATGCAAAAGAGTAATGGAAATGAAAACACAACAATGCTATCCAAACTGAGAAAGAGACTTTGAAATAATCATCCTACCATCCTTGAACAATGGGCTAAGCTGCATGTTAACTGAAATCCCTAAAAAATGATGGCACAGTGGAAAAAGAAAATAATTTGTTGCAAAAATTAGTGGCCAAACATTGTCCAAATTAGATGAGAACTACAAATTTCCAGATTCAAGAGGCTCAATGAAGTCAAAGAACAAGAAGCACTCTAATGCACATCATAATCAAACTGCCCAAAACCAATGGTAAAGAGGACACCTTAAAAGCAGACAGAAAAAAGACACTTTAAAAGATAAGTATGAGCCAGGGATTTAGCTCAGTGCTTCTGCCATCTGCCTCGCAAGCGGAAGGTTCCGAGTTCAATCCCTGGTACCGGAAAAAAAAAAAAAAAAAAGATAAGTATGAGAAAATAAATAAATAAATGAATAAAAGATAAGTATGAGAGATTATCAGAAATAAAGCAAGTAAAAAATAGGAAAGCAACATCTCTGAATATTTACCACTTTTGAAAAGTCATTCTGTATAAATACAAAATTTAAAATGTGAATAAATATATACTTAACCTCTCCCCAAACAAAAATAGTCTTTATCAATGACTTTGGACAGCTGGTTTCTAACAAACTAAAGTTTCATAAATTTTTTAGTATTTCAGACTACAGTAAAGTCTTTAATAACAAATATACACATCAAGAAAAAAGTATAGTACCTAGTTTTGTCTTAAGAGTCTTTACATTTTCAAGTTCTTCTTCCAACTCCATTAGGTTGTATTCCACTGATGAAGACATCCCTATTCAATGCAAAAATATTTAGAATTAAAATAGAACTCCTAATCCTACGAACAGGTAGCCTTCTAATTAAAAATAAATTAACTTTTACAAATTCTGATTTTTTTTTTTTTTTTTGGTACCGGGGATCGAACTCGGGACCTTGCACTTGCCAGGCAGGTGCTGGAACCACTGAGCTACATCCCCAGCCCCACAAATTCTGATTATTGAAAATAAAAACAAATGCTGCTGTGATTCAAAGGCAACTACATTCACATCTTTATTTAAAACACCATGTTCTTATGGATTAAAAACTACATTTCCAAGATTTCTTAAGTTGGTAAAGTTCTTATTTGATCTACTGCAAAAATATTACATGCTTCCTACAGGCAGTGAAAAGGAATCCAGGTCCTCTTCTCCACTTCTCTACAGGGACCGCTGTCACCAGTGTGGCTAATACTTTCATGCCCTTCCTCATTACAAATTTAATTCCTATGACACATACATATTTCATCATTTATTTTATAGATGGGGTCCAATCAGACACATTATTTGGCCGCTGGCTGTCCATGCCAATGATGCCACCACACTTACAGACAGGGGGCCAACTCCACAATAGTTGAATAACTTTCCATAATATTGATGCACTAGTTTTGCTCAAAATTATTCCATTCCTAATTATTCAGGTTTTCCTCAATTTTCTGTCACTACAAACAATGATGCAATAAACATTCGTATATACATATCCATTAGTTCCAAAATTCAGATGAGTGAAAGGATGTAAGCATTTTGCTTTAAGATATTTAGAAGTTACATTCCTGGGCCGGGGATTTAGCTCAGCGGTTCCGGCGCCTGCCTTGCAAGTGTAAGGTCTTGAGTTTGATCCCCAGTATCAATCAATCAATCAATCAATAAATAAATGTATGTATGTATGTTACATTCCCAAAATAATTGTCATTTACTGCAATAATTTAAATTTCCAACCATAGCTTTTGAAAATACCTATTTTTCACTGTCTTCCCTACCACTGGATATGATAACTCTGTAATTTTTGCCAATATGATGAATGAAAAATGTTTTCTGATTGTTACTTTCATATGTATTTCTCTAAATATTATTATGTTTCATGTTGATCACATGGATTCTCCCTATTCATGTTTTTTCTTGTTTCTCTAATAGTTTGTATATAGCATCTCCTTATTCAGTTTTATCTGTTAAATTCTGAAACAGATAAGTTGAAACCCCCAATACAGTTGTGTTTTAATTACATTTCCTCAGTTTTTAAAAAGGATTTTTTTCACTGTGAATTTGTATTCGTCTATTACAGTTTTTTCACTGTTGTACCACTAAGATTCTTACATCTTCCTATGAATCGTATCTTTTATCATATCATAATGACCCCTTTGTCTCTAATGTTTTACAACTTAAATTCTGTTTTGTGGACTTTAAATTCTATCTTTCATTTTCATTTGTCTTGTTTGCTTATTTACATATGTTCACCTTTCATTTTACTTTTTCTTTCCTTGTCTTACCCAGCTGAATCTATATTTGAGGTTTAACTTGTATTAGTTAAAGCTCATTGGTTATAAGCAACTGAAACTGTAGAGGTAAAACAGAAGAGGAATTTGGTCAATATCAGACCAACAGGAAAGGTTCCATGGAAGAAAGTCAAGGAAGCTCCAAAGACAGGAACAGTCAGGGCAGCCTCCTGCCCTCCTGCCAGGAAAGAACAGGTTCCGAAAAGAGTAGCAATTTTATTTGCGGCTGCTGTTCACACCTAGTTAGGTCAGACAGTCCTTCAAACAGTGGCAAATCAGTTGGAAGGCTCAAAAATTCCTACTGTTGAGGACTACAGACCAACAGTCCAGAACTGACTAAGAAGGAAGAAGCCTGACTGTGGTCCTTTCTCAAGGAGAGACTGAAAGGATTCAGCCCGACACAAGAAGGTCAGCAAGACCAGACAGACCCTGCTAGCAAGGGGACAAATGCAGACTCATTGAGGGAATTCAGAAGCTTCTTTTCTAATGAAAAGATTCCCGTTGGGGAATCACAAAACCCCAGTCTTAGCCCAGGTTTCTAGAAGGAGCCCTTGTTCTCTTGGCATCTCTTTTCTCATCTGGCCACTATAAAAGACAGAGAAACCCAATATCCTCTCTTTTGGAGAACCTGAGGTCTCAAAGGCACAGAAGTGTTATACAGTATTTCCAGAGCTCATTAATCATTTTACTTGTTAATATATAATTGATATTTTCAGGAGAGTGAGAGTAAAGATGGTACAGAGATACTCCGGTAATGTGACCCCAACCTACTAAATTTATTCACCACCAGGGATTGAACTCAGGACCTTGCACTTGTGAGGCAGGCATGGTGCCACTGGGCTAAATCCCCGGCCCTAGCTACTAAATTTTGACTACAAATCTAGTTTTAAGTGTCTGGCAACCAAACCAAAAGAAAAAGCAATTAAGTTACAAAATTAATGGGCATTTTCATATAACAAGGAGGTTTAGATAAGAGCACAGCAATGTAAGATTTTCAAATGTCTCTGAATCAAAGCTTAAACAATTTAATAGTGTTAGTGATAAGTATATTTTACTTTTCATCCCAATTCTTTATAAATTATACAGTGTGTATCTGTAATTACCACTCATTTAATGTCTATATTCCATTAATTAAAAATACAATTCCAAACTATACTTCATTTTCTATGCTTGTAAAGAAGGTATTATTTCAGTAACCAGCTCAAAGCTAGAAAAAAATAATCTGATGTGTATTCAGAATTTTGAAAGGGACTGGATATCAGAACAGACAATATTACTGCTGCCAATTTGAAATTAAGTGAAAAGACATAAATGCTTACTTTGTGGGTATGTCTACAAAGCTCAATACAAGTGTCTAGACCATTCAATGTATGATTTTCCAAAGGAAAATACTGAAGTGACATTTCTGAAATGAAATGAAACTCTAGGCACACAATGAGTGATTAGTAAATACTGATTGGCAGACAAAAATCAAAAATACACCCCTATTGTCCTGAAATAAGTCATGCTTTCATTAAATGACTAGATTCTGTTGGAATAATACAGTATTCAAGGACATTACCATCCTCTATTACATAGTAATACATTAAATATCTTAAGTGAAAAAGTAAGTTTTGTGGAGTGGAATATTTTATTATGTAAGTGACCAGAAGGAACGAGTGGATTGACTATCTGGGGAAACTAAGACATGCTCCAAACAAATACTAGAATAGTATATAAATTCTACCAAAAAATGAAAATACCATGAAAAACTGGATTATCATCACTTTATTTTTAAAAATCTAAAATGTTCAATGTCAGCAATGTCTAGTCAATAAGTCAAATCGGTAGACAAAACCTGTTTAGACAAGTCATAAAAAATAAAAAGGGGTTCTCCAAGAAAACCACAAAGCAGCTCATTTAAGGTCAATTTAACGGTATTATTCTGTTTTTCTTCCAGCCCCGACATAGGATTTCACGACCTCAAAGGAAATTGTAAGAGTATCTATTTGCATTCCCCCAGGTGATTGGCAGTTCAACACCAATTAGTTCAAAATTACACTGTTACTAACATGCAATAAAAACAACACCTTTCATCTTTCTTACATAGGTAAGAATACCTTCAGAGCCAATAACTTTGATCAAATAAGTATTTTTGATCCTGCCCCACCCGTCTCTTTGGATTCAGGAAAAGTAACAGCTGAAGGTAAATTTTCCCAGCTTTATTCTTAAGCTGAAAAACTGATGTGGTATTGAAAATATTTTGCTTCCAAGATAACAGAATTTCCCAAAGTCCAGCATTTCCTCAATAACTAAGAGGTCCTCATGCCTTTTCTTAAAAGACGCAATTCATAAAACAGCCTTCATATGTTAAAGGACAGATGCTAATTATTTAATTTAAAATATAAAATGTATTTTTAAAACAAATACATACTACCAACTTGACATGTAAACATTCAAATAATATGATGCAATAAAATTATCTCTCTAAACAATTCAGTATCTTAATGCAGTGTCCTAAGCTTATTCATAACAATACTATTTGTAAGTAAAAATCTCCTGCATATACAGATTCTTTTTATATTTAACTTTTTAAGTTAGCATATAACCAAAAAAAATTTGGTTAGAAAATCTTATCTAAATAACCTCTGAAAAAAACTGACTTGACCAATGTGATCTCTATCCCCAAGAATGGGAGGTCACTCAAGCACATTAATTAGTTCCAATCATTTAGGCAAGCAGTTTTATTACTCCAGCCCAAGACCCCTAATAACTCATACCACATAACTTATACAGCAAACAGTCTCCATCTCCCCAAGCACATGCACCTTGCTGCACACCACGGGCCCCAGGAAGCATGTGTAAATTAAAGCCTCACCCTAAATCTCTGATATGTCTATTTTGTATAGGCCAATGCTGTTGCTACCTACAGAGGAAACCAACAACCCACACACAGAAACTTTTTGAATGTTTGTTCCACTCACAATGCTAATGTTTATTAAAATAATAGTTTCTATTTATTTCTGACATAGCCCACAAAAAGTGGCTAATTATGAATCTCAGCAATGTAAGACTTCTGATACCCAACACAATTGTGAAAATGCAAATGCACTTATATTATTAATGACTTCAAGCAAGGTAGAAAATATTAAGTAATCAGCTTTAAGAATATTATATAATGCTATCTAAAATTAAAATAATGGTTTGGCTTTTTTTCTATTGTGAATATAAGCTTGGTAAACTTAAACTAAGATGTTAAGATCATTCTTTAACCTTTCTACTTATATATGCTACTATTAGCAACACTATGATTCAGGTAGATTGTGCTTTAAAAATTCACTCATGTATATTAAATTCATCTTTTAAACAAATTTGAATCATTTTTATAATACAACTTCTTTAAATGTCACAGAATATGATACTGACTCATATTCTACTTTGTTACTGCAAAGCATTCCTCACCTACTCATATTAGAATAGTTTATATCTCTCACAGTCACCTTAGT